CTTATTGTTTGTAGTAGTTAATATATTATATTATTAGAGATATGTTTTAATTATATTTTGAAATCTTATAATTGATTAATCTTTCAAGATATTTTTTTGGTCATTTTACATTCTCAATAGTTAGTTTTGCAAAACATGATTTGTTTATTAGCTACCAGCTAGCTTATCAGCTAGTTTGCCAAACAAAGCCTAAAATACTTTATAAGACTTAAATTTATAGGATCAATAGAAAAAAAACAATACAATGAAATTGGATTTTTAGGACGCCTAAAATTCTAAGCATCCGGATAAATTAACCTATAGGACTTACGTTTATAGGAACAAACCAAAAAGCATCATATCTAAAAGTGTTACATTAGGTTTATATGACATTTTAGATGTTTTAACAAGGTTTTTATGACGCTTTTAAATAAAATGTCGTATTAGCTATTGTATATGACACTTGAGATGATGCATATGATATCCCTCATCACTGTATAATAAAAATTGTTTTATAGAACATCGATAATGTTTGTGAATGTCTTAATTAATAAAGTGATGTTGATCTAATGTTTTTTAGTTTGGGATGTTTGATTTTATATATGTATCTAATTTACGTCCATAATCATCACAGTTAATTTTTCTTCTCATTGTAAAAAAGAGGAAATTACATTTTTTTTGTACTTGTGGTTGGTTAGAAATTACGAGTTTTGAGAATTGCGGATGTAATGCATGAGAGCTTACTTTATTTACTAACTGATTTAGAAGGTTTTATTGAATTATTGCACTAACAAAGATTTTCTTACTAGACCTTATGGTCTAACCCTCATTTTCAAAACTAATGCATTTTCAGGTATTTATCACGTTGGGATTGCCGGCCTGAGAAAAAGAGTAAGTGGTAAATCTTGTGGTGAAAGTGCAATGGTTCTTCCATGTCACTGTTTTCCTGCAAATCCCTTTGCTTACATCAACACTCCTATTAAAATCCCTAACCTTCTCTATCAAAACCCTAGATTTGCAGTTATCAGCCAATCGTTCGTGCTTTTGGAGTAAACGCTCGTACAACAGGCATCTTTCTTTGCTCAATTACGTATCATCTACACTTTTCTCCCATTGATTCGTCGTTGTTTTGCTTTAAACGTTGATTTCAAGGGCTGCCTCTTCTATGTTACTGTAGATCGATATTTAGAGATGATCGTTTGTTCGGTTAAGCAATCGCGCTGGTGAGTTTTTCGTTCTCAATTGTGTCGATTTCGTTTAGTTTCAGTTTAGTCGGGTTGAGTTTGTGATGAATCTTATAGCTTATTAAGTCATACGGATTTAAGGATTTGATGTACATATCTACTGTATCGTTCAATGATTTAACAACTCCTCATTGAACGATACGGTAGATATGTACATCAAATCCTTAAATCCGTATGACTTAATAAGCTATAAGATCCATCACAAACTCAACCCGAATAAACCAAAACTAAACAAAATCAACATAACTGAGAACGAAAAACTTACCAGCACGATTACTTAACTGAACAAACGATCATCTCTACTCTAAATACCAATCTACAGTAACATAGAAGATGCAGCACTTGAAATCAGTGTTTAAAGCAATACAAAGATGAATCAATGGGGGAAAAGTGTAGATCATACATAATTGAGTAGAGAAAAATACCTGTTGTACGAGAGTTTACTCCAAAAGCACGAATGATTTACAAATAACAGCAAATCTAGGGTTTTGGTAGAGAGAGGGTTAGGGATTTTAATAGTAGTATTGATGTAAGCAAAGGGATTTGCAGGAAACCAATGGCATGGAAGAACCATTGCATTTTTCAAACCTATCAAAAACATAGAAATATTAACATTGGTAGAAAGATTGCTACTGTACCTTTGTGAGTGATGTTTTACAACGTGGAATCCTTTGTGCAAAAGGAGAAGTTGGTGTTGGATTCTTTGGTGGTGACCGATCAATTGATGAATTAAGGTGGGATGTGGGGTTTGAATATAATCTATGATAACCGGGTTTTTAGTTATATAAATTTGGGGTGGTTTTGAAAGATTTTGGTAAGTAAAGTGATTTAAAATGTTTACGTGTTTATGTGATTACTTGTTTAAAATAATACCACCGCCTATGATTATATATATATAGTCTATTAAATGGGGTTGAGTGTGAGTTATGGTTATAAAATAATTAAACTCCACCGCCTGTGAATTTTCATGGTATTAGAAAAGTGATAAGATAATATTTATCTTATCTATTCTTTTTTGGAAAAGAAAGAAAAAAGAGAGAAAAACCTTGTTGTGTGTGTGTTCTTGTGTGATATCCTATGTGAAGCTGTTAGAAGAAGAAGTTGATTCTATGGTTATATTTGGAAATCGGTGCTGTGAAATTCATCTTTGTATATGTGAATATAAGGTGAGTTTATATTATCAACTTTCTATATTTAGTATTTCAATATTGAACTGATTGGTTCTTATGTGGAAAAAGGCAAACTGTTCTTGAAGCTGTTTTTAGTTGATGAAACTGGGTTTAGAACTGTAAAAGTTCTTGATTTGAGTTTTTGTCATGAAACTGTTTTAATCCCATTTTTTGGAAAAATAACAAATTTGGTTATGATTGTATTTATGAGGGAATAAGGGTGGCATATCAAGGATATATATACCATTGGATAAGGGTGACATATCAAAGAAGAGGTGTACCTTTGGATAAGGGTGACCATTGTGAAACCTGAGTTTTGATCATATATTTTGTTATTGCATCCATGAGATGCAATGATCTTGAGTTATCACCTTTGTGTGATGTGAGAACTTAGGATTATTGCTCTTATTGACTATGATAACAATGTTGTTATGAAGAGGGGGAAAATTGTTTATATCGAGAAGGCCTCTAGCTGTGATGGAAATCCAAGTTTTTCAAATATTTTCATCTTTTGACCCAGAGGCTCTGTATCTTGGAATTTAATAAATCCAAGCTCTGTATCCGAGCTTTAAATCTAAACTCTTAGTCCCTAGTATATTTTTTTATAGTTAAAACTTTTTTAACTTGATCTTTTCCAACTTTAGTAGAGGACCAGAGATGCTCTGGTTAACTTTCATATTTAACCAGAGGGCCTCTGGTTGTATTAAAAATCTATTTGTCTTCATATATAACTCATTTCTTATTTTTATTAAGTTTTGGTTAAGATAGACCAGAGGCTCTGGTCATCCAGAGCACCTCTGGTTAGTCATGTATCCTTGGTTTTTAAAAGTTTGAGACCAGAAGCTCTGGTTGGTAAGACCGACCAGATAAACTCTGGTTGGCTTGACTTTGGATTTTTTTAACTTAGTCAATGAACAAAAGCTTTGGTTGACCACATCATGTGTTTATATTGTTTCAAGTTGATCCAGACTTCAAGATTAGCCTTTAGTGGCCTTATTTTGGTTTGACTTTGCTCTGGTTGGGGGACAGAAGAGCTCTGGGTGACCTCGCACAGAGCGATGCGAGGAATTTAAGAAACGCGCAAAGGGTGATGCGAGGAGCTGAGTGGCCACGTTCCATGTGCAGCAAGGAAAATTTATAAATTCATTATCTGAATGCAATATTTGAGTTATGTTTTATTAAGAGGTTATATATATTTGTATGATTACAAATATAATCTTATAATAGGTTTTGGTGATTTTCACCCTGAAATTGCATAAAAAGGGATTTCTCACTAGATCTCAAGGTCTAACCCTCATTTTGTGTTTCAAAAATGTGCATTGTAGGTTAGGTTTTATCGAGGGATAAAGAAAATGGAAAAAATGTGAATTTTCCTTTTATGTTTGCATGGATTATGAAGAAAAGTATGATATCTATTGATTTTGGAATACTTGTTATATATATGCAAATTATGTACAAGAGTGTTATGGAAAAAAAAAATTGGTTGTAAATTTTGTAGTATAGCTTCTTGTACTTGTTGGGACCGAATGTGTACTATATGTATTTTTTGATATATGAAATACATGGTTATATACGAATATGGATCTTGGGGTGTTACATAATCGCGCAAAGAAAGTGGGTTGAAGGAATTGAGGAATTGAGGGGAATGGGAAGCAGGTTGAAGAGATAATATCTAGAGCACACGATTGAGAGGAGGGACATGGGGGGTTAATATTTTTGCAGTTGTACAATATGCATAAGAAGATGTACATCTTAATTTCCAACAATAACTAACTGCTTATGATGTTGTACACTAAGCACACAAACTTGCACATCTTAACAATACATAACTGTTTTGAGAAAGAGAAAGAGAAAGAGCTATGGTGCAATGTCTTGTTAAAGTGTTTGGTAGATTAAGTTTGGGTGATTGACTTAAAGGCTTGCAATTTGTTAGAAAGTCTTAAATTAAAAGTGTATGTTTATATTTAAAGCATAGTGAAAGTGTAAAATGTGGCATTTATCATAAAAGACAGATGGAGTTAAATTAGTATTATTGTCACAAATGTTTCGGGTAATTTTTGATGTTCAATGTTGTGTTTTTGGATCAGTGTCGTGTTTGTGAAGTAAGTGAATCTTCAATTCAATTTGAAAAGTTGTGGGGTATTGATTGATTCGGTGGAAACTCCTGATTATGTTTGTTTTAGGATTTGGATCAGCTTTTGATTGGTGGATTATTCAGGTATCAAATTTGTGAAAGATGTATTTTTGTTTATATATGTAATAGTGATGGCCAAAAACCGGTCCCAAGCTTTCTCGTAACCGACCATAACCGGTCCCGGTCGAAAATGGTAAGACCGGTCAAGGTTCTTCATAACCGGTTATGAGCCTCCCGTCCCGGCATTAAAAAATATTTTTTTAATGACATATTTTTAATACATTATAAAATTTGTAATTGAGTAACTCAAATACACTATATAAATGTGTTTTAATATAATTAGAGTTACGTTGTCTTAAAAAAATACACTATAAAATTATTTAAAAATACATTTATTTATAAAATTATTTGAATTTTTGGGCCGGGCCGGTCCATAACCGGCCCCGGTCGGTCCCGGAAAACTGTCAAAAACCCCAACCGGTCCCGGTCGGTCCCAAAAAACTGCCAAAAACCCCAACCGGTCCCGATTTTCGGTCCCGTAACCGGTCCTGGGTCGGACCGGTTCTTTGCCGGTCCTGGTTTCGGTCCTCCAACGGTCCCAGGATGGGCCGGACCAATTTGGTCATCACAAATATGTAACGATGGTAATAAAGATGTGATTGAGGTGTGTAAAGTTCAGTTAAAATGATTGGCATCAATGATTTGTGTTCAATTTTGTTTTATAAGTGCAATATTATTTCGTGGGATTTTTTTTATGCTGGTTATTTCGAATATAGTTTTGCAATTTTAATTAGAGTTGTGTAGCGAAAGCGTGACAATATGCTAATATTCGTGTTGCTGGAGAGCAAATTAAGAAATGTCAAATAACGATACACATGGTTAAAATGATAATTACGTCATTTAGACTATCCATTTAGAACAATTGCCAAAGAACTATATTTCATTATGCACTAAATCATACAGAGCCTCTTAACTATTTTGACCACAGAACCTTCGGAACAGGGCCGGTCCTGAGATTTTTGGTGCCCACGGCAAAAAGTCGAAATGATGCCCAATTAAAAACATCCAGGTGTGGTAATTTACAATTGTCTAGCTTTTTCCTTCGTAGACCGAGAGATCCATTAGTGTTTTTTGTTCATAAGTGTGATCTTATAGTTGAGTGTTTGCTTTAAAATAATATGTTAAGGTTTCATTAATCAAGTTGCTATAGCCCTTCCATTTAAACACCAACTCATCTACTTGTCCAAAACCAAAATAAGGAGCATCATAACACCAACTCATCTACTTGTCCCCATTTACTACATCCCACGTCTTCTGTATAAACCAAAATCAACACTCATACCTTCTCAATCCAACTCTAAACACTTAATTGGTTGGTTCTTCTTCAATTATTTACACTCTACAACATCAATGGCTCATTCCTACTTCACTAATTTTGTCCTCCTAGTTTTAGTCACTTAAGGTGTTTGCCTATGAAATTAGCTATTGCATGACTCCATTAGTCCATCATGTGTTTCATATRATCATATTTAGGGTCTTGACCAATGACAATCATGAGTTTCATATGTAAAATTGCAAAGTTAAGGGAGAATAGTCAAGTGAATTAGCTACTGCACTTTCAAGTGAGGGCAAATCGTCACTTAACTACTGCACATTTATAGGTCTGTTCAACTATATTATAGCTGCTAAAATGGTGTTAACATATATCAAAATCTAATGGGATTAGAACAAAAATCGGTGGATGATAACTTGAATATTAATCACAGAACGAAGAACTAAAACTCCAGAATAACCCTAAATCCCTAATCTAATCCGCTTTAAAACAGCTCCTAAAAAGATTCTAAACAGCCCTAAAAAGTAAAAAAAAATAAGGGCTTTTCAGTTATCAAATCAATCCTAACTACTGTTATTCAGTTATTCAGTATTTTTGTTAGAACTTAGAAGGTTGTTTAGAAATTGCAAAACAAAACAGACCCAAAAACAGCCACAATTCACAACCAGTTTAGAAGAAAACCTAAGTAGGCACTAGGCAGGGAAGCTTCATCTTATCATCTAGATTATGAATTAATCAAACAAGAATTAGAAACATAAAATAAGTAAATAAAATAACCCTAACCTCACAGTCACAAGTCATTAGATTTTGAGCGGTCGAGAGGGCGCGAGCGAGACTACGAGAGCCGACCGCCGACAGACGACAGTGATGAACTGGTTATTTCAGTCAACATAATAGAATCGTTGTTCACTTGTTCGTACTTCTACAATCGTCAATCGACAGTGGTGATTTCAATCAACAAAACATAATCGTGAGTTCGTCTGTTCGTGCGCCGAGCGACTGAGGGAGGCCGAGAGTCGAGCAGGTAGAGAGAGCGATTGTCGATTAGCGGTAACGATGATCTTTTTTTGCCCAACAAATTGAACCTATTCTATATATGTTGGGCTTTATAAAATGGATGCCCTTGGACTCTTTGCCGCCCTAGCCTGTCGTCCCTTAGACCCTAAAATCAGGGTCGTTCCGCTTTTAAATCAAACTATTAAATAACTATCAAATAGTCTTTATTTGTATTATATTTTAAACCAATCCCCTTTCATTCCTTGGAGCAATTCAAGTTTTACTACATCCCCTGAACCGTAATCTGTACAACGCAACCCAAGTGATTAGCATCCAAGCTTTTATAAGTAAAAAGTGGGAGTTTGTAAATCACTATCAGGTTTGATTCCCATAAGTCACCGACATATTTTTAGTTCTTATACAAAAATCTCTCCATTATTGTGTTAAATTTTGTTTTATAGTGTTATATATATTCGGTGCATCTCAATGCATCTCATTATTGTTGATCTTCAATTAAGATTAATCCGAGAGTGAAGATCCCTGTTACCCTTCTTAATATGAAGTTGGGTTAATAGATTAAGTAGCACGAATGGGCTTATTGAATTAAGTCATGTGTTTAACATTAGGTTGACATCAAACACTTGTAGATGGATTAACCCATAAGTCTATTAAGCTTATTAAATCAAAATCAAACACTCCTTAACTTACATATACAATAATCAAACCTAATTAATTTGATCCAGTGATTTCAAATTAAACTCACACCCCATCTAGAAGGATCGAAAGGTTTGATGGATTTTTATTCGAGTAGAAATCTCACACGCCATAAGAGCATATGATTTTGCATTTTATTTTGTTCACATACGAGTTTTACCCGTTTACAAACCAGTTTGACTTTCTAAACCAATTTTGCTTTCAACACTTGTAGTTGCTTTCTCATCAACTTGGTTCATGAATTCTGAGAGTCTTGATGCCAAACTTTGTTTCGTCGCTGGGGAAACACCATGCTCGCCGATCACAGACTCAATTACTGCTTGTGCCAATTTTTCGTTTTCTAACACAACAATGGCAACTTCAGGTATGATACCATCTTTCGAGAAGCTGATCTGTGTTGAAATAGACATGAAGAAAAGTAATCTAAGAAGTTTGTTTCAATCAATAAAATGATGGTCAACCGAACGACCAACGAGGTGTAAGCATCTAAGATGGAGTAGTTGGGCTAGATATAGTTCAAAAAAAGAATGCTCAAACGTTCTCATGGGAGGAAATAGCTCGAGCTCGGAACTATCATACAAGATAAGAGTTACATTTCACTCTCTTGGTAAAAAAAGACTCATTTTTCATAGAGAAATTTGGATTTCATAGAGGGATTTGAAATCATTGGTGTGTTTGATTTGTAGGATTTGGAATGAAATTGGATTCCATTATTTAAAAATAATTTACAAAAATAATTAAATTACATCTGCTTCCAATTGCAAACCGACAATTTGAGTTTCAGAATCCGAAATTCTCTCAACACTTATCAAACATCATCAAAATAAAACATGATGCATAACGAAAGAGTTCAAGAGATAAAAACTAACCGTTAACGACCCATTTGGCGATGTTGTGAAGAGAATAGAGGAGCCTGGTAAGAAGTTTTCATCTTTAAAAACTTGAAGGAACTTTTCAATAGTTGCGGTATCTGCATCTGTATAGGTGCCTTGTGCTTTCCAAACCCCAATGCACATTTCCGACACCTTTTCAGAGTATTGCTTACCCGTTAATGGTAGTATCATCGTCACCTGAGTAAATTTTTCAAAGGGGCCTGTACAGAGGACATAGACATATGTCAAGGCGCTATCCTACACGCCCATGGCGGTCAACGAGTACAACAGAGGAGTAGAGTTATTGCTATCTTAAAAACCAATAAAATGATTCAGTTATATCAAGACAAATGTATTATTTTCTAAAAATAATTGGATTCACCATTCTCTCTTTAATTCTAATATGGTTCTTAAAGTTCTATAGGAATCATGGTTCAGATAGTGAAATATACTTATTAAAGCCGATGAGATGGCTTATTTATAGTTCAGTATATGTAATAAGGATTAAACTGATCGAAATAGTCAATCTTCCTAACTAAATTTTTGAATATATTTGAAGGACTTGTATTATACAAGCAAAGATACATTATACGGTACTTTGTGTTATGAAAAAAGTACATATAAAAATTGGATGATTGGCCTTAATACTTGTATTGTATATTTATTTTCATATTCTTGTTTCGTGTTATGTGAAAAGTGCAAAATATATGTGTTGAAATGAATTACGATATATCTAATATATGTTGTCTGATCACAATTCGTTTGTTGACTATAATATATTTAGTTGAATATTATATATCAACCAATGCAACTCATCAGATTTAACATAAGCCATGTCTTAACCAACTAGATACGATGTAGGAGCACCAAAAGAGCATCGATTCCTTTGGATTTGTATATGTTTCATGTAATTGGTGTTACAAGATCGATCGTACATGTGAATATATATATATATATATATATGATTGTTCCCCTCTCTCTCTCTCTCTCTCTCTCTATATATATATATATATAGGGTATATTTCTTTTACAACCTTGTGCATTTGTACAACCTTTGCAACCCAATTAATTGAGATATTTATAGAAATGATTGRAGTTCATTTATTATKATTTGAATATTTATGKAATATGAATAGAGTTTATTAATTATGATTAATASTTTATATTAGGAAACAATTAATTGATTAAAAATTGAATGGTTGAGATGAGGGTTGTATAGGGTGTAAGAATGGCAAAGGGTGTAGAATAACATCCCTCTATATATATATATATATATATATATATATTCAGTTGGTTGTATAAAAAAGAAAACGAGAATAATGAGATGAATGTCATATTAGCACATATAAATAAGTCCATATAATATTACTCCTTTTGTTTTAGGTCCCGTTTTCTTTACCAATCTGAAAATCTGATTGGATAGGATTTGGAGAGTTTTGAAATTCAATTTCATTTCAATTTTATTATGCTCTGATGGATTGTTTAGATTTGAAATCGCAGAATTTTATTTAAATCCTACAAATGAGATTTTGAAATTTTATTTATCAGAGCATTTGGTATTTCATGGAATTTTACATGATTTCTTTTTATTAATGTCTCAAAACATATTAAAAACACTCCTTATGTAATAATCAATAGATAAAAATGAAATTCAATTTTAATTCAAATCATATGAAATTCAATTTTATTTATAATCCTATAAAATTAACCAAACACACAAAATTCAAATAATTCCAAATCATTTCACAAAACCCAAATCTCTCAAAAACATTTTGTCAAACCAAATTATTTTTAATACTTAATGCCAGTTTGGTTACAGGATTTGGTAGGATTTTTTTTTTTTTGATTAACCTAGATATCCAATTCGCTATGTGAGCCGACTAATCCCAGGACGACCACCTGCTTTACAGATAATCCGGAGTCATCGCATTTGGACCTCCGTGGCCACAAATGGATTTTTATCGTCCTTGGATTTGAACCTAACACCTCCTGATATTATTATTATTTTTTTTATGTGATTTGGAATTGAATTTAATTCAAATCCCACTTTTAGTTTAAAGAAAATTATGAGATTCAAATCTCAAAATTTCAATGAAATCCCACAAAGGTTGAATCTAGAAATCTTAGGGTTAGTTGGTATTTTAAGAGTTTTATAAGATTTATTTACAATATTGTTTAAAATATTCGTTTTTTAATGATCGGTTAATAAAAAGTAATTAAAATATTTTTATAATTATTTAAAATTTACTTTTATAAATTACCTATAAAAACAAAATCCAATTTCATTTCAAATCCTACAAATCAAACACGCTACAAATTCCAATTCCATAAAAAACATATTTCATTCGTAAATAAGCATAAGTTAAAATGAAAAGAGAAATGAAAGAAAAATAGCTGAGGCTTACCGGTAACGATATCCCTGTAGAACTGGACGGAATCCTTCAACTCAGCAGCGGTTTTGCCCTTCCACTTACCGGCGAGTGACGGAATGGCTTTATCCTCCAAGTACACACCAATCCCCGTAAACTTCACAAAGTTTCCTTGAATCTCCATTCCTCTCACACCTTGCGCAGGATAGAAACACGATTCAAACATAATTACTTAAACCGTACACCTAATCGAAGAGCTAGACGCAATTGATATTAGTTGAAGATCGGATTCACAGATTTGAATGTGGAAAAACTAATACCTGCGCCTCCTAGGAACAAAGTGGTGGTTGCACCAGGAGGCTTGACGGATGGTGGAAAGACGATGAATTCGACCTGGATACTGGTGGAGGAGGGCTGCAGAGCCATTGTAATTCAGTCGGAGAAACACGAACAACAGTGGAGTAGGTAGTTATAGAGGAAATGGAAGTGGTAGATAGATCGTGTGGAAGAAAAGGACTGAGTCGGATCATATGGACGCTGGAGATGAGACCATATAGGTACCAATATTTATTCAAGCTAACACAAAAATGGAAAAACGATTTGTTGGCATGTCCTTGTAACAAACAAAGTAATAAAGATTGTGGACCGACTCTTTATTCGGTAGTTGTTTATTGTACTATTTTCGGTCATCAAAATGGATTTTTGGTAAAAACATAAACTTGATAAGAGTCTTTTCTCTTACTGGATAAGACTTTTGGTCTTTACTATGTCTTTTATTGGCTAATTTTTTATGTTCAGTTGATAAAGTAAGTAATATCAGTAAGTATTTACCCGATAAATGTTGAATAAAAAAATATAAACAAAGAAAAGATGTGATATATGTAACAAGAAAAAGAAAATACCTTAAAAGCAGTAGGTGTCAAGTTATGGACCAGGTCTATTGTGATTTTTTTAAAACCGCCAAGTTGGGTAGCAAGCAAAAGTAGTTGAAATCCCTTCTCATTGGATCTCTAATTTAAAGATTGACCACTCGTATTGGCTAGTCTCGATCATTTGTGTTCCCAGTAGATAATTTTATGATTGAAGCACCAAACACGACCTTATTTAATAACCTTTCACATTCGTGAATTGTTTCTTTCTTCTTGTTCACGAAGTAGCCTCGCCTGTAATTGCATTGACTTCGTTTATCGTGATACTGGTCTCCATTGTTAAAATCATTATAACCCTTTGAAAACACACACAAAAGTTGATAGTTAAAGGAGAATTCGACCGAACAATCGAGCTAGAGTTTATTGAGAACTTTAGATTAAAAAAAAAAAACAGTATGTAAACTCCTATATGTGAATCTTTCAACGTCTTACTGAAGAGAGTCGATAATAAAAAACTAAATTCAACAACGTTGGAAGAACGTAATTATTTAAATAAATTTTGTATGTTACTTTGTCATTTAAGACATCTTTGTTGTTTTAATATGTAAGACTTTTAATATAATCTACGGTGTATATATTTTGTTTATTTATTTATTACTATTCTAGTCGATCTATAGTTTTGAAACAAGTGTAGCAGCACCTCCAAAAAGATTGAAAGTACGTTGTTTGTATGATATTAGCAGTTGTTTATCTTATAAAATATAAAATATCAGACTGTTTTATATGGATTTGTAGGATATAACTAATTGCTCACTTCATAAAATGCTTACGAGGTTGTTTTTTACTTTCATAGAAATCTTTAAAACCTGGGGACTGAAATAACTCATACGAGCATTAGTTTGAATTATTGACAGGTCATGAAAACCTTAAATTTGACAAAAATTAAAATAGATGTAAAGTCAGACGACTTATTTTGTTCTATCATTAAAATAATTATGGATTTAATTAATATATATTAAAGTTGACCATTTATGTTTTTAAGTATTTGTCTTAACCTCCTGTGTGTTTTTTTTATTCTACAGATAATCTTTATAAAATTCAAGTTTTCTATTTCCGTTTTGATATCATGATCCCAAAACACATGTCACAACTCATAATCTCATGTTTCAGTGTTGATCCTTATTTTTTGAGCAATTAAATCGATAAATTTTAAATCTACCCGTGACATACATACAAACTTCGATCATGATCTAAATTAATTTGAACATCGTAAAACAAACCATAGAGATAAAATTTCATTCATAAATTAATAGATTTGATTCTGTTTTTTTTAATACAAATTTACTTTATTTTAATAATATATGAATCAATTAAAGTTTAAACTCATTTAAAAACGAATGGTTCGATTCCGACCACACAAGCAAACAAAAAAAAGTTAATTAAACCAATTATCTTATACGTCAAAATTAAACGATGTCAAAATCAAACTTAATTATTTTAATTATATGGTTTGACAATTAAACCCATCGTATTCAGAAGGATTGAAAGCTTTGATGTATATTTATTTGAGTAGAGATCTAAGATCATATACTTAGACGATTCTACATTTATCCTCTTGAAATTTATGTTTACTAGTTTACAGGCCACTGTTGCTTTCAACCCTTGCAGTTGCTTTCTCGTCAAACTGTTTCATCAAATCGTACAGTCTTGATGCCAAACTTTGTTTCGCTTCCGGGGAAATACCATTCTCCCCGATCACCGACTCGAATAAAGCTTGTCCAAATTTTTCATTCTCTAACACAACAGCTGGAGTTTCAGGTACAGTACCGTCTTTCGAGAAGTGGATCTGCATTTATACAGACACGGAGAAAATAAATCTCAAAATTTTGTTTCAATCTATAAAACAACAGAGAAGTTTTTGGTGGTTATTAGGTACGAGGGAGTCGACAATTCAATATATAAAAACTAACCGTTACTAATCCAGCCGGCGATGTTGTGTAGAGAATAGAGGAGCCTAGCGAGAAGTTTTTGTCCTTGAAAACCTCAAGAAACTTGTCAATGGTTGCAGAATCCGCATCTATATAGGTCCCTTGTGCTTTCCAAATTGCAACGCACATTTCAGACACCTTTTCAGCGTGTTGTGTACCAACTACTGGTACTAACATTGCCACCTCAGCAAGTTTTTCAAAGGGGCCTGGAACGAGGACGTAGATATAAGTCAAGCTGCTATCCTAAACGCCTATGATGGATGCATAATTTCAGGAGTAGAATTACTGTTATCTTATGTATCACATAGATATACAACCCGTTATGCGAGCCGACTAATCCCAGAGCAACCATTTGCTTTGCAGGTAGCTTGGAGTCACCGCATTTGAACCTCCGTAGCCATAAAGAGATTTTTATTTTACATTTTAATTACAAATGTAAAATAAACTATTTGAATTGGATTATGATCTATGATTACAATTCATTAGCTTATCATATTCATTTAGTTGAATTATATAATTTAAGGGAGTCTATTCTACTGAAGTTCATCAAACTGTACAACTGAAATCACACTGTATCAAACATTTTATTGTAATTACTTTTTTCATATTACATTATGCGGTTTAATTTGTGGTTTTGAATTATGTAAATCATGAATTAAATAAACCACAGTTAGAAACCATACGACACATATATATTTTCATTAACCAGAAGATAATTATTTTGATATTTATTCAATACTAATGATGAAAAGTATTAATTAAATAGACGAGCCCAATAGGTCTCCTAAAGCTAATTCAACCTCGTAAGTCTATTACATTAGATTAGATAATTAAAAATGGAAAAAAGTCTAAAAAAATCCAATGGACTTTAGTGTTTGGAACAAATAAGTCCTTGGATATTACAAAACATGTTAAATAACTCATTGAACAATTTTTTGGAACAAATAAGTCATTGGACAATTTAAAATATGTTAAATAACTCATTGGACAATTTTTGGAACAAATAAGTCATTGGACAATCCAAAACATGTTAAATAACTTCTTGGACTTTTCTAAAACATGTTGGATACATTCTTATGACTTGTAAAACTAGTTAAAGTGGTAAAATAGTGACAAAAGTCCGAAAAAACCCCAATGAACATTTATATTTTGAACGATTAAATCCCTAAATATTTTTTGAACCAAAAAGTATTTAGATCTATAAAATTAAACAAATATAACAAAAAAATTATTACATTAAATTTTTTTTTGATAAAATTTATTTTAATTAAAATTAAAATATATTCTGTTAGTGATTTTTCAAACAAAAAA